TACAGATTCAAAATGACAAAAAATTCTCCACAATGCTGTATGTCTAAAAAAGGATGGTTTCAACTTCCCAATAGGCAACTTCCTTTTCATGTCGAGCAATATTCCAACAGCGCTAGCCTTTGGCTTTTACATTTCACAACGATTTAGCTACAATCGACCATGTTCCGTTTAATAAGACTTTAAAGAGCGTCATACCACTCTTGCTCTGAAGTTTTTGATCAAGGTTACAACATTGAAGGCCTCAGTAAAGATTTCAAAAGGTTTTATGGTAAACATGAGGAGCAAATAATGATGTCCAATGCAATTCCCTATTTTGACTTGTATCATACGTTCCCGAATTATTTCAGATGGAAAATTGACTAGACTTAGCTTATGTTTATGACTGGTGCCAGCGGTGGGGCAGGATACCTTACCTGGTATCATCACTACTTTATCGCGATCCATAAACATATACTCATGCGACTCGAATTGTTTACAAACAACATCGTTCAGCTGTAATACTGATGAAACAAATATATACTCATGATATAATCCCAAATGTACAATCAACTCTGCTTTTTGCAGAGACATCATTACTATTTAATACATCTCTGAAGTAATGGTGTACGCCAACTTGAAACATTAATTGTTGCTACATTGTTCCCGATGTCCCCTCTGATGATCTATTGCCCTATATGTGGTTCTTCCTTTGTTAGGCGCATGTCCTTTACTTCCATTACAAGTTGAATGCCTCTGTAAGCGTCCACTTTTACCCTCGGCCATCGAGTATACCTTTGCTGAGCCTGGCGTTCCGATTATCAATGTGTCTATTGCCGTCCCCACAATCAGCACTGTATACTAGAAATAACTTGGGCGTATGTTCAATAGGTCTGTGTCCTTCACCAAAGGTCCGCTATTCTTTCCTTCTCTACTTGTCTCTACTTTAAAAATCTAAATGTCAAATTAAATACCTTCCTTTCTACTCTTATCACCGAAAGCGTTTTAACACAAGAGTGTTAATCTAGTACCAATGATGAAAAAGGTTTGCACGAATGAGTGAGTGAGTGAGTGAGTGAGAAGGTGAGTGAGTGTGTGAGTTGAGTTTTACGTCGCACTCAGCAATATTATAACTATATGGCGGCTGTCTGTAAATAATCGAGTCGGGACCAGACAATTCAGTGATCAACAGCATGAGCATCGATCTGCGCAATTGGGAGCCGGGAGGTTACGAAGCCGGTGGCGGTGAAGAAGCTCATCTGTACATTGGTTGCTGGCGATTGCTTGCATACTCATAACTAAGGTATACCGATGACACAAACTGGTTATGTTATCTTCTCAGTAGAACATAACTCATAAACGTTGCAGTGATTTAATGAACATTATGTCTTTTTATTAAGGTCAGTATGGTCAACATTGATGCAAGGGATTTTAGACGTAATTTGAGTAAACATAAATACCCATGATTAGAGCAGGGTTTCAATAAACAAATGTAGTTGAGATTAAAGTAAAGGAATACTAGATTTATAAAGGAAACACACGTCCAGAGGAACGCGAGACACAATACACTTAAGGAACAATGAATACAGCAAAAGTACTAAATGTAAATCATACGTTAAGTCGGCCATTTGAATATAGCAAGTACATATTAATTTGAGAGTTACAATACCTTAGTATCGGTTCAAATACAACCGATCATTCTATGGATAATATGTACAATGAAATACACACACTCAAAAACACACTTAAACTTCCATTTCATGCTTGTCGCTGACTTAGTTGACACGTGTCATCGGTTCCCAATTGCGCAGATCGATGCTCATGATGTCGATCACTGGATTGTCTGGTCCAGACTTGATTATTTACAGACCGCCGCCATAAAGCTGGAATTTTGTTGAGAGCGGTGTAAAACTAAACTCACTCACTCACTCCATGCCAGAGAGAGAGAGAGAGAGAGAGGGGTTGCTCTTTGCAAAGATAATGTACCAATTCGACAATTAGCAGTAGTTGAAGATTTCTTTTCTGACAATAACATATGCATCTCTGATGAGTGCTACAACACGAATTTACGTCCTGCCACAGCCATTTATTCAGCACTAGATCCGACTCCTACAGATGCTGATTTACAAAATGAATTTGACTGGTCTGTCCATGATGACATATGTGGAAGTGTCAACTTCCCTACGATGCTTAAGACTATCACGCCTACTGATGAGACACCTTCGACAAGATGGTTTCACCAAAGCACAGTGGCTCTTTTCAAACCCTTTGTTCTGAAATACTGCAGCCTGATACTCTCAAAGGTACTCTTGCCCTATTCAGCTATTCGCAGAACAACTGAAAATATAGCTGATGAAGCTATTCCTAAGTCCTCTATTAACCCACACATACGTAAACCATGGATTAGTGATGATTGTGAAGAGGCAAGAAAATGTAGAAAAAAGCAGAAAAGTACTTCCGCCAACACCCAGTTCAACACATACAGTTCATAATCTAAATACTAGTAAATAGCGCAAGGGCTAGACGAACCTTTAAACAAAATATATGTCAGTCTTGGAGACATTATATATCCAAAATCAATTTGCGTACACAATATCAAAGGTAATTGTAATAGTCCGTTTATATGGCGCTCATATCCAGGCACATTACCTGCTCAAGGTGCTGCGTACAGTACTATTCCCGGTCATAGGACACTATCGTACTATCCGATTCTTTTTCAACTTCCTGGGGATCATACAGCCATGCTGCCTGTTAGGCGCAATGAACTAATCACTTACATTGCCAGCACATCCTCACGGGTACCCATTTTACAGCTGAGTGAACTGAGACAATGTGGATCTAAGCACATTCAAGTTCGTGTTGGATCATCCCTGACTGATCATTATAATGACGATCAGGGTGTTCGACAAGGCAGTGTTGGACTATCACCTTATTTAGCATTAAGACAAGCAGCCTCTCCAACGTACTGAACGACTCAGTTGATGGGTCACTGTTTGTAGATGCCTTCAACGTATCTTGCTGAGGCAAAAATATGCACACGATAGAAAGGCAAAATTTCAAATTTACCGTTTCAGTATGTTACTAAGTTACGTTCCAATCAATTAAATCCTGCTTATAACTGTGTGTTTTGTCCTTCCTATGAAGAACTATTTCTAAATAAACCAAAACATATCCCGCCACTTGGTATTTGGATCAACCCTCACATTACCAAATGTAACATCTCCTTACCACCGACTCCTCCTTGGCAAATGATCTGATCTGAAGTAGGCATTTCACTCTCTGAGTTTAAAAAGATCTGACACAAATCCACTTATCTATAAACAGATATATGTACTATAGCGAGCCAAATATAACACCCATCGGTCAATTTTTGCAAATGGTTGAAAAGATAGTGCCTTGAGCATGTGCCTTGTACATGGAAAAGGCGCGTTACAAATGTACAATTATTATTATTATCATATAGTTACAATGTTTCAAGTGCAACTGTCGTTGGATCTAATATCATATCTTCCAGGATTCCTGATAATAGATCTATTTTCACTGCTGAAGCCGAGGCGATCCAAATAGCCTTGGAATACATTCAAACTAAATATAAGACAGTTACCATCTTCTCTGATTCTCTTTCCTGCCTCCAAGTACTTTAACTCCAAAGAAACCCTTTATAAGTGGGTTTATAAGTACGTGTATATAATCAGCTCCCAACTGATGGCTGCCCAGCCATGCTGGCATTGTAGGTAACACACGAGCAGATGCTACAGCTCTGGATGAGTCTCTCGGTCTCTCACTTACTGATACCTTATTCTAGTTGTAAGCCATACATCAAAGAATACATCAGACAACTAATGCAAGCAAAGTGGGACACCCAAGTACAACACATTTCATGAAATTAACAAACTTTAGGTTATACCCACTTATGTTTACATCAAGGGACGATTAAGGCGATGTCGAATTGGCCTCACACGTTTTACTCATGAATATTTATTAAAATGTGATGAAATTCCATTTAAGTTCCCTTATGTTGAGAGAGACACAGTCAAGTACATTTTGCTTGACTTTAGAATTCTCTCTCATAACGAATAAACCTATCACCAATCTCCATCTTTACAGGATCTTTCTATGAATGTCAATCCTCATTTAATTCTTGTTTTTCTTTTAAAGAAATAAAATCATTTCAGAACTTTTGAGCATTTAAATGGTTTTAAAATTGTTTGGGTGTTTTCACGAACTGATGTTATTGATAGTAGTGGAACTCAGGGCTTAATGTGGATAGAGGGGATAGAGGATGGTTATCAAAGTGTGGGACAACAGCCCTCTCATGGATCTTCTGTTGATACCAAGGCCAGTTAGATTACCAAGAATGTTAACGCGGTCCATATTGCAAACCAAGGGGATGCATCACCATATGTCGCCATCCTCATGGAGTTTGAAACAACGATCAAGTCATGTTGCGAGGCATGGGACCTAAGCGTACTTACTGCTGACCATCAAGGAGTGGCATATGGAACGATTCCTATAACGATAAATAGAGGCGTCTTTCCTACGTTTGCAAGTATTAAGACCTCATTGAGTAGAAATAATAAGCGCCTGGTTATCTGGCCTTTTTAAAATAAACATTGCCATTTTTATCGAATATGCCGTTTCGTGCAATTCGAACAACTGCTTCGTTGTATTCCTTCCACTATCTTAACACACTCTATGGTGTGTGCATGTATGTACGACATGTACATTTGCTTCTGTATACGTGCTAGATACAGTCATCTGATAATACTGTTTCATATACAGTTTACTTATTACATGTCCGTGTATGGAGAAGTGTTACAAAAGGCGTTTTCCCCTTGTCAAGTGTGATTTCTTTTGATATATTGTTCAATTTAATCGATCTGCGTCGCCTTGCTCTTTCTCCAGCACGTCGTAATTCAATCTCAGTACTGACGGACTCTGTACAATAATGTACAAACCGACCGCCTCAACATGTCATGGACATCAGACGGTGGTAGATATGTAAAGCAAGACACCCGGAAGTAAAAAGGCTTGACCCATCCACCCGACAACAAATATCAGTGTATGTTGGACAACGTTCAGAAATATTAGTCTGTGTAAAGTATTCATGGAGATCCCAAGATGTCGTATGTGGATTATTGTCCTGATCTCATGCTGTGCTAAATGTAAGTATCTGTGCACTATAAGCTTGAAGATAATACTATTACGCTGCCTAGCTGCAATAGAGCGTATCCGGTATTACGTACATGCTTAGTCAGTGATTTCGCTTATTCTCAGTTCAACTTTTAGGATGACATTGCCTTGACAAAGTTGGACAAGCAAGCAAAACAAGCAGCCAAACACGTGATAACCAGAGGTGGATCCAGAGGGGAAGGGGGGGTTAGGGTGAACCCCCCTTTTGTCCTGAAAGTTTATTAAATGGCCCCACAAAACGGATGAAAATGAAGCGTGCACTCCACCCCCAACCCCTACCTTTCTCAATAGTGCGCACCCCTCCTTTTTCAAAAAGCTTTATCCGCCCCTAATAACTCTCTAACGTGCAGGAAATTGGTGTTCTAAGATAATATGCATAGCTATACATATATTTTCTAAAGCCTAAGCCAATGTATACATTGAATAATACATGTCGCTATATGTGTCAGTGTTCCTCTGTCCTGTATACACCAACGTTATCGCCACCCTATACACAGCACTGTGCTATATCTGGGTGGGATAGCACGCATATGTGAACTTCAATGCAAGGCTATGTATGTGTAAGCGGAGAGGGCATTGCTCCCAGCTTTGTGACAGCTCTGTGCAGGGGATATCACTGTATAATTGTGTATCCGCCTGCAGGTCACAAGTGTCTTTCAGTGAACCAGTCACGGGGGTCTTTGTTAACAATGCAGGTCACACACGCACACAAACACACACACACACACACACACACACACACACACACAGAGAGAGAGAGAGAGAGAAAGACACATACAACGTGTCCAATTACATTCAACACACTGCAAACACGTCAAGGGATGCATAATTTCATACCTTGCATAAAATACACGTTTAACTGTACGACATATAAACGTTACCTATATTGAACTGGTGTTATCTAAAGCTGGCTTTATGGTGTAAGCAAACTGATAGCATGCCTCAGTTTAACAATAATACGCATTATAATGGTTTCATGCTATTGATATTGCAGTTGGTTCTGCCCCAGGAATTCAAAGGCCATATTGAACATGAATTTTGCAGTTGTATAACTAACCTCCTTGTACAGAATTATAGATAAATGTATTGCATGTCTGTCATAATGTTATACATCTACCATAATGTCGTTGATTCAGGACACAGAGTCAACAAGGCCCGAAGGGTTGAACTGATTTCGTTTCTGAGTTTGAGTCAACATATTTTCTATTATGAGTGAGTGAGTTTAGTTTTACGCCGCCTTTAGCAACATCCCAGCAATATCACGGCGGGGGACACCAGAAATGGGCTTAATACATATTCTACCGTGACATTTAAATATGTTCGTTTTTGATTGGCTGTTACTAAAAACTTAGAAGTGAACGATTTTCAATAACGACTTCTGAGAGCCGGTTCATTGCGCGTAGGAATATTTTGCACTCATTAACTCTTACAAAGGTAAACATACATGTCGTCTGAAACTGTTACGTTTGAGCTCGGCTATTGCTTTGATCTGTTTGGATCGGATATGGGGGAAAATATTGACCCAGCCTGGTTCCAACATGTAAGTCAAATCACACAATCACTGCTTCTTCATCTTCGATTTCTGGTCTTTTCAAAATTGACAACAGTCAGGTTGTCATAAATAACTACTTTCGGAACTAAGCAAAGCACTGACACGCATCCAGGAGAGTCACGTTTCGAAAATGGCACGCGCCAATGACGTCAGAACGAAGGTCAAACCAGACGAATCTATTTTTGAAGTTACAGGGATGTTCCTTATTACATAACTCATTCCATTAAAGTTGTCCATAACATAAGAAGTAGAATGCCAGTACAGATGTTGCAACTTGCAATGTATTTGAAGAAAACTTCGTTGTGGAACCGCGTTCGGTTTTAAATGACATTTAGCAGCGTTCAACCATCTACGATCACTTCCAAATGTAAACACAATAGGATTATCCCCTAAGTACCCATGTAGGAAAACGAACCAGCGTCTTCGGCGCGACGAGCGAAGGCTTTAACCACTAGGCTATCCCACCGCCCCTTTCTACTATGTATCATATGTAAACGTCCATAGACGTGATGGCGCGCCAAAATCAAATTTGATTTGACTAAGGAATAAAGTCGACTTAGATGGTTCACCTACCAGCAGAAAGCATTCTTAGTACACATATTAAAGGACTCGATATTGCTGCATGGTTGATATAGTTAGGTCGATGTATGCAGGTTTTTCCGTGATATTTGACATCAACAGTTCGCCATTATTTAAAATCATAAGGTATTTTTCTTCAGTGTGTTGGAATTCCGCCTTTGTTCTAGTCACAGATGGTGAGAGTGTCATCGTTAGAGAGACGGAGACAGCTAGATTCGGGTGGCAGGTGCCCGGAGGGACATCAGTCGCTGCAGTGTATGTGATTAGCCCAGGTGGGCCCGCTGTTCTCCTCGCTAATATATTAAACCGGCACATGATTGGTCCTGTGTATGAAGCCCGAGTCAACTACACTGGGAACATGACAGTGGGGATGATGTCCTTTGATATGAGCAATGTAAGCAGATCTGACGCTGGGAATTACACATGTGGTCGAAATGGACTGAGTGATATCATTCCGAACTGTGGACAGATGCTGGTCGTACTTGGTGAGTGTATTTAAATAAAAGTTCACTTTTAACCCCTTTTTCTGTCTCAGATGCTGCGAGTCAGACTACAGTCGTTGCCTTTCCTGGAGATAACAGCACAATCAGCTTCATCATCCCACAAGGTGGTCTAGGGACAGGATCTTCTTTCTATTTTGTTACACCAAACAGTCTTGTGGCTTTTATTGTTACAGCATCGGACACATTCGTGGCCACTGATCCTTACAAAAATAGAGTTGTTTTTGAAGGAAGCTACTCCTCAAGGAACATGACATTTGTGCTGAGGAACATCACAAGATCAGATGCTGGATATTATACCTGTGGTGGTGGGGGTGGTGCGAATCTCATTCAGGGTTGTGGTTTGAAGCTTATAGTCATTGGTATGTGATTACAATTTGATAGGTTAACATAAGTTAACTTTTGAAAGATATCCCTGTCTCATGGAGACATGCGGTCAATAATTCTATTAATGAGACTCAAAATCTGGGTATTAATGACATAGTGTATGAACTTATTATACCTTCAGAAGGTTGTAGAAGGTTCTATAACAAATTGATTAAAACATGTGAGCTACCTGATGTGTGTAACAGGTGGGAAAGTATGACTCAGATTACATTGCCTTGGAGTATTGTTTCTACAAACTATAGAAAGTGTACTCGGGATGTTAAATTATTGGATTTCCAATTTAGATTCATCCACAAGATTATATATACTAAAAAAGAATTGTTGAAAATGAAATTGATTGACAAAAATATTTGTACATTTTGCAAATCAGAACCAGAAGATATTATCCATGTTTTTGTATCGTGTGAACATGTACAGATGTTCTGGAGTGAATTAAGATTTTTATTATAAACACTTTTAGCATTGACATTGTACTCTCAGATTTCACAATCCTGTTGGGACTTAACACTGGCTATGACTTTATTAACAACATTATTCTTGCTGGGAAACGATTCATTTATGTCTCAAGTATAAACAACAGATGGCTGCAAATGTCAGGATTTCTGAAAATAATACAGAATATTGTATTTGTCGAAAAATACATAGCTAAGAAAAACAACAGGATTAACAAATTTCACCAAAAAAATGGCCTAATAGCTTTATTTCGAACTTTGAAAATCTGCAAGTCTCTGGGCCAATAAATAATCAGCTCCAACATGCCTACGACCCATGAGTTTGCTGCTGGAGGTTTGCGCGCTGTCTTTCCATACCCATCCTTGCAAACTTTGAAATTAGTAACTCTCTGTTGTCAATGATAACCAGGTTTTAAAATCATATAAATATCCTAAAATAATAATAATAAGAAGAAGAATAAGAAGAACAATGATAATAATATTAATTACTCAACATGCAGGTAACCCATGCGCTTGTCGCTGGAGTCATGTATTCCCCGACTTTTGTACCTATACCTTCACACTCTGAACATTTGAATTCTTTGTTGCTGATGTATAACCAGCTCTTACATGCCTGTAACCCAGAGAGTCTGTTGCTGGAGTGGTGCACTCCCTGACTTTGTGTACCTATGTTTCCACACTTCAAAAGTGCTAGGATATTAGAATTGTAGAATGCAGCCCATTATAATTATTGTGGCAATGCAATTTCTACTTCAAGTACTGAAGACAATCTTGAAGCTTTTAATAATATGTACGTCGTTGCATTTGATAAATTAATAAATTAAGGCGATTAAGATATGTCTTGTTTGTAAGCTGATGTGTTTATACATGGAAAGCTGTGAAATTTCAATATGCAGCAAAGTCTGACACAAATCAAAAATAAATAAATGTGTAAGGGATGACGGTGTGTCAGCAAGCATGCCTTGACGTTTGGGATCGAATACGTATTGTCCCTGACTCGAAGGGTTACAGACAACAGGTATATACTACGGAAATTTAGTCAATTAATAACCAGTATAATACCATTCAATCACTCAATCAATGCACTTAGCATAAAACATGTGCATGTCTATGTCAACTTTTTCAATATACATACACGTCGTTTAGGGACTACGTCTCGCTCTGTCGTCAGGTGAATGACAATGAGGGAGGGCAAGACAAATATTTCAGTGCACAGATGAAGCCAGTTATACCTGGATACATATAGTAAGACAAGGGACAACATGAAGTTAATTAGGAGGAACTTGATTAGTATGTCAGATTTGTAGAATAGTGACTACAGGGTTATGTTGTGGATAATGGATCGTAACTCCTTGATGTTTGTGTTTCTCATACAATAAAATGAGAAAATGAATAAATCTTTCCAGGCGAGCCGACCAAGCCAGTCATATCACTGCAATCAACTCCCGTGGTTGGTAGGAACGTCACGTTGACGTGCTCATCCACGTCTACAACACTACCTGTACATCACGGACTGACCTTCACCTACACCTGGAAGATTGACGGACGTAATCTTACCTCACCAGGTGGCACTAGTATCACACTTCCGGTTGAGAGTTATAACCCACCAGGTGTTACGTGTCACGTGACAGAAAACGAGGGACTGGGGAGAGACAGTGACGTTCGGGTGTTAACTCCTGATTGTAAGTACATACAAACTGGAATATGCACTGTGAAGTACATACAAATTATGGAATGCTATATTTACTTAAACTGTTTTAGATGTATTCATCTTATGTTCCTGTTTTTCTTCACAACAATGTTTTAATCTGCCTACACTGCAAAAGGTCCATAAGGTATATTACGAAACCAAGTGTAGGAATATGTGTAATGTTCTCGTTTTTGCGCCGGAAATATTATAAGTGTCATTGTTCGATTCCGCCTTTAGCATGAACTCTTGTTATTATGAAAGCGACAAATTTATCGATAAGAAATCTCTGCCAATGCAAGCCGTAATAGAAAGGCGGTTGTACGATTTCGCTTATATCATTAGCACGTGTTTATAAATCACAATGAAATGGCGGTGAAACCAGGTGTTCGCGAAAAAGACCAAGGTCACCTGTAGCACCCGTCTTAAACACAGGCAAAGGCCAGTCACCTGACAGAAAAACCTTGGAAATGTATGGCTCAAGCTAAAATAGGCGATTCCATACGACAACATTGTCGTCATTGTAATGACGGATAAATATTGAAGTGTCGTCCACATGTCAACCATAAAACATTTCATGCAAGGCAGCCATGCTTTGGATGGCTGCTGACTGGGACAGAATGGGTCCATTCCACTTCTTTTAACTTTTTTTTCAGTTTGACCCGTGAAGATCCTGATTAGAAAGATTTTAAGCAACTCATGCTTGTCTTAAGAAACGACTAACCTGTTAGAGTGTTCAGGCTCGCTGACATGGCTGACACATGTCATCGTATCACAATTATGTAGATCGATGTTCATGATGTTGAACACTGAACTGTCTTGTCCAGACTCGATTATTTATTGACGCCATAGCTGGAATATTGCTGAATATAAACAACAAAGAATTTTGTTTTCTATTTAGGCATCCTATTAAAAAATCACGAACCAACTGCACCCACCCTGTCAGACATTCACCAGGTTTGTCTCTTTTCGACTAAGCTAAGATAGCAAATATATTGATTTGGAATGAGGCTCACGACTTTAGTATCCATGTTTGAATAACTTGTAAAGACTGTTATTAATTATCACCAATAGCCTAGTCTGTGAGTGTTTGACCAACAGGTTTGTGGCAGTAATCGTCCCACGTCCATCAGTACTTTCCTGCAACTGAGCAAGTTAGATGATATTGTTTACGTATAGAAGAATACAACTGTTTGGGGTCCTGAAAATTGAAACACTGAATGCACTTTTACAATACGATTTTATCTGTGCTCCGTTGTGCCAAGCATCATTTCCTCTATATTAATCTTTCTACGTGGAATTTTGAAATTTATCCATTAGTTTGATTTGATACAAAATATTGAACTTTCAGATCCTCCGTACAACATAAGCATCTCTGCAACATCGGTGCAAGTGAAGGAGACTGACGACGTACCCCAGGTGACGTGTGTCGGCACGTGTCGACCTACATGCTCATATTCCTGGAAACAAGGATCCCAGATAGTCGTGACTGGACAGGTGCTCGATCTTGGTGCCGCGAACAGGACCATGGCTGGCAGCTACGTGTGCACAGCGGATAATATATATGGCACATTAGAGAGTCGGGCTATGGAACTTGATGTACAGTGTACGTATTGCAGAATGCCATGTTTGTTCTGGACCCACTAATTCTGTGTCTGTTAAGAGTTACACCAGATGTTACGTATGTATACAATCGAGCCTGGACCAGGCAAACCAGTGATTGACATGGTGAGCATCGATCCACGCAAAATGGAACAGTACGACAAGTCATGTCACTGGGCTATCTGATCCATCTGGTCCAGACTCGATTATTTACAGACTGCCGTCATATAGCTGGAATATTGTTGAGGGCGGCGTTAGACAAAAAAAACAACCCGACCAACATAGAAGCTGATGGGTGACAGTATGAGGCTTGCATGAAAGTAGAAATTTTACACCACACATGGTCGTACGTAGATCGTATATTTCACGGTGTTTCACATTGTTTTACTAATGGTAGGTGTTACTGCTTTATCCTCATGGCTGTTTTGTTACAATACAAAATCGAAGTAAACATTCATATTTCCCTATTTCCTGTTTAACAATTTCGAACAACTTCTGTGTTCAACTAAACGCCTTTCTCTGCTCAGATTCACCAGCTGCAGTTGTAATGGCTAACGGCTTGTCTGGTACTGCTGAAGTTGATGAAAGAGGTTCCGTGGTCTTGTCATGCGCAGTAGACAGTAATCCTTTGTCCAGTATATCCATCATGAACGGCACTGTCCGACTAAACCACGTGACCGAAGCAGCCACAGCCAGTTTCAACTGGACTGAAGCAGATTGCCTTGACAGTGGCGTCTACACGTGTGTTGCGAGGAACATAGCTGGGCAAACGACAGCGTCAGTAACAGTGAATGCAAAATGTAGGTACCTTGATGAAACTATGAGGTATTTGATTAATAAACTCCAAACACACACCTCATGATAGACTTTCCGGCTGTACCTGAACAAGTATGGGCCGGCAAATGTTACAGGAAGTTATTTCGTCATATCTAAAGGACTGTAAATAATAAAATCTATCATTAATACGCCAATGGGATATCGAGGTGTTGATTATTCATATTATAAATCGAAAACCATAACACTGCATTTAGTATCTACAGGACGTTTTAGTCGTTTTCCATGTAAGGAAATACTCGATAAGGGATAATTTCACTACACGAAGAAAAACATAAAATGCTCTGTTCTTGAAGGTTCCCCACGACTCAATTTTCAATACCCAGCACAGAGAGATGTGTATGTTGACATAGGCCAGCCAGTCAGATTACAAGCTCACATCCTGGCTTTTCCACGTCCGACCTTCACCTGGTTAAAACAGAATGGAGGTAGTGAAGAGCCTGTCGACGTATCAAAGTGGCGCCAGTACGACGAAGCCATGACGTCATATATCGTTACGGACATTGCAGAAGAGAACGATTATGGAGTTTATCACGTAAACGTCAGAAATCCTCTGGGAAGGTTCCGAATGCAATTTCAACTAGGAAAGAAAGGTAGGTTTGAATGAAATACGTTTTAGCGGAAACGCCACTTATTAAGATATCTTGTTATTTGTGTCGATGTTCTGCAGATGAGGAATGAATGAATGAATGAATGAATTAATGAATTAATTTCTTTATTTGCTCCAGAATCTACATCCGAAGATTTCAATAACCCTGATGTTACTCAGAGCAAATACTTGATGTTTGTATTAGGGTTGGGCATTGCCAAAATTTTCGTATTGCGATATATTGTGATATGTGTTGGCGTATGGCAACATGGGTTAAGGTAATGAAATTACTGTTTCCTTTCTTTTGACACAATGCCACTGGCTCCTGTCAGGACTCAGATGTGATTGTACAAGAGATTTCAAAATTGAAGACTTCGCTCTAAAGTTTGGAACTCGAAAATAAGCGTCTGCAGCGGCGTCCGCCATTTTTGTTTGTTTAATATCCTTACAACGAGTGCCGGTACCCATCTATATGTTTTGTTTATATGGTTTAAAAGTCACGCAAATGCAATTATATGACCAATAAACATTCTCAAAATTATTAATGTTTAATAATATAAAGGAAATACAAATGTTATTAGTAGTTTTGACTACATCACGAAAATTACCGATCGTATCGGGTGAACTGGTTTGCGAAAAGTGTACCGCAATATATCGTATTGTGAAGTTCGATTTGCAATTGGTAATATCACCCACCCCCTAGTTTGTATGTACATGAATATAAATATGAGTCCTAGTAACACAAGCTGTATAAGTAAATAGTCGATATCACATATGTACACAAATGACAGCTATTGCTGCACAGCAGATGAACAGAGAGGATGGTCTAATACATTTTTCAGATGAAGTACATATTTACATAATAATAATGATACACTTTCCCAAGTGGTCTGGCTAACAATTCCGGGTACTAGTGGAGCCGAACCCCAAAATAGTGCAAGCATCTCATTTTCATCCAAACGTAAACATAAGATCGTAACATACTTTAAAGAAAATAAATCTTTATTATGATATAGATTTTATTTCAAATAGTGAACCTTCTCTGTTTTGTTGTGATATGTGACTCTATATTCTGTGGTATTTTGCCATTATTGTTGTTATCATATACGCATGCTTTTATTACTTAATTCTCGAATAGCTGCCATATTGCTGTTGGTGCGGCGTAAAGTAATAGATATTCGTTACACAAAACTCACACATAGAGATGACCTGTAACTCCTTAGTTTTTCGCATGATCAAATCAGAGCACATCGTGTCATTGTTCAATCTAATCAATGCTCCTCCTCACACACAGCTCCATTGTCTGTACCGGAGAACTTCCAGTGTCAAAACAAGGTCGGCGGTTACATCCTTCAGTGGACACCAGGTGGTGATGCTGAGACACGGGGTGTCGGCTTCCTGGTGGAGCAAAGACTGCCACAGGCCAACTGGACTACAGTCTCGGCCCGTGTTGTAAGTGACGGTATGCTGAGGCAAATACACCTGCCTCAGTATGGAGGCAGTACCGTCTTCTTCAGGCTCTATGCTACAGAGGATACTGCAGTGACGTCACCTGTGACAGCGTCATGCACAACATTCACTGCCGTAGTCCCCAGTGGTACGTCACACTAATACTTGATTTTAACTGTCCATCGTTTCCGGATTTTTGCTGCGCTCGCGCTTATAACATACCAATAATCTTATGCATAATTTAGCAAAGAAGAATTAATGTGCATTAGGCATATCTTTTTATTGAAGGTTTTATATAATCTCATGGCTCGGGAATTTAGTGAACCAAGTTAAAGGTTTTGCACTTCAACACCAGACCAACAGATATAGCAACGCGATTTAATGCTCTTATATGGTCCATCATCAACCAGTATCCTATCTGTAGTCCAACGACCTACGGTCAATAATCATCGATACAGTATTCCTACCCGATAAGTTATTTTGACAGATGAAGCACTCCAACACTAACATGTTTGTCTGTGTCCAGGTGAGCTATCGTTCGGTGCAGGGGTGGGCGTCGGCTTTGCTGTTGCAGTAGTTGCTGTAGCTGTGTCGCTGGCTGTAGTTTGTATCTGCAGGAAGAGGAGACGGTCAATGAGGAATGGTATGTTCACATGGCTTCTGGGATATGTATCCCTAACACGGCATCTTCCCAGTATGACTACTCCCAGTATGACTACTCCCAGTATGACTACTCATGAACATAAACATATAATGGAGCACCCCGACACTTAATAATGCACTGTACCTGTTGCTGATTACTCCCAGTTTGTTTACTCTTTGAAATAAAATAATAAGGGAGACTCCCAGGGCCTACCAATAATGATTAGCGTCAAGTTAATCGGGGACCTTGTGATGATATAAATACACAGTAATAGAGATGACTTATTAACTATAACACAGAAAGACGTTGTAATTACACGCGAGGTTTCCTTTCAGATTCGCCCAGGAAGAAAGAAGAGGAGTCTGTGTAAGACATTTTCACTACTTAAATAATTAGGAATTAAAACATTATGTTGCTTAATAAATGAAACCAGCCCAGAAGTATATATCATTTGTATAGATATTAATGTATTTCAAAATAACCAATTACTTGTGATAAAACGCGATTTGTATAGGGACGTCAATTCATCCAATATGGAAACTCTATGTCAGTGCAATCTGTTTGTACAGGTACCATGAAGTAGCAGCTTCTACTGCGACAGTCCAACACAGTCGCCAGCAAGACAGGCAGCCAGGTAGACAAGGCTTATACACTTTGTAGATACATAAGGAAGAAAGTTCTTATGGATGTCAACTTCTTTACTACGAGGAACGCAACGTTTCGGAGTATATCCTTACTCCATCAGGTGAAGGAGTAAGGATATATACGGAAACGTTGTGTTCCTTATAAAGAAGTTGACATCCGTAAAAACCCTCTCTTTTATGTGTATCACGTCTAAATGTCATTAAAAGATCTGATTTGTGGATATTGTTTGTAGATGGTTTATTGAACCCGAATATAGATCTGGGGTGACGTCCGTGATCGATACTGTTTTGGTCGGATCCATAAATTCATATGCTGATTGTTATACAGTAGAGACAGAGGTAGATTCTACATACGCTGGAAGTGACCAAGCTTCTGTCGAATGACTAGTTACTGCTTCTAGGCCAATGAATATGGCTGAAAATCCAGGCATAAAATCGACATATCCAATCTTCGTCAAATCAGGAGGGTATTTGTTTGGTATAGTATTTCGAAATTAGAAACGAAGAAACATTTTAAAAGAACAACTAGCTGTTATGAGGCATCGTTGGTTTCTCTGGTTTCTGATAATGTTTACATGACATCACTCACTCACTCAATCAATCACTCACTTATGTGGCAGTGGCTTATATTCATTGTAAAACAATGTTGTAATCATATTACATTTTGCTGTTACGATCAGTTGGAGGCAGTGGTTGGGTAGTTACTATTTGACTAGGAGCCAAGATTGGTTTGGAAGCTTTTTGAACAGCCATATCATCCAGAGTAGTCTGACCAAGCATGTTACAGAATCTTCCAGATTAAGTAGTTTAAAAAAAAAATAATTAATTTGACACGTTACCTGTAACAGAAGGATGATGTGACTAATACTATTACAGGTGAGGGAACATCCCGGAACACTTACGAAGCTCTGACATCGGACAGGGATACGCCTGTTGAAGCGCCCCCTTACGAGCAACTGGAGAAGCAATACGTGAACATGGCGGTGTCTGCAGACGATGAGACCTAACTGGGATAACAACAAGAACAATTTACAGGGTCCGGAGGACATAGCAATAGATTCACGCAGCACAGAAAGTCCTACTCTACGGCCCCCGTGAGGTGTGGGCGTACGGCAGTCGTTTGAGTATCGTATCAAGGGGTATCAGCTTGATGTAGGGGCCATGGAAGGGCCAATCTTCTAAGGCGCCATGAATCAACCCGCAGAGCTGCGTCCCTTATACATGTCAGAATCTTGTGAGCATGTGTATCTCAGATTCACCCTGATCTGGTTTCTTGACTTTGCAGCCCCTTGTTTGTAATCGTCGGTTTCACCACAACGGTTTCCCCTCCACTTAGCTTTAATGCCGCATAACTGAACCACTCTTCCATAGATGCGTTAAACTGCTCACCTCACTCACGAACTAATACCATCGCTGAACAGCCGAACTGTTTCTAAAGTATATGGACACTGTCAATACAAGTCCTATTTAATTCGTTCAGAAACTCTTGTCATCGAGGGGCGGTGGGGTAGCCTAGTGGTTAAAGCGTTCGCTCGTCACGCCGAGGACCCGGGTTCGATTCCCCACATGGGTACAATGTGTGAAGCCCCTTTCTGGTGTCCCCCGCCGTGATATTGCTGGAATATTGCTAAAAGCGGCGTAAAACCATACTCACTCACTGTTGTCATCGATAACCTACACTACGACAGATACACATATTGCTAAAGGCAGTTCACTTATTGGTTTATAGCTTGACATTAAGCTTGGAACGTTAGGTTTTATGTTTAAGCCTATATTTCAGTCCTGTTATAGTGGTACATCGTATCAGACGCCAGTTCTCTGTGAAATTCACATTCCATTATCGTACCAGAAAGCTATGACCTGGGCTCGAAACAATATTAGTCTTGTGTATTATATAACACTTATTTGTCAGACCATACCCACGTTCGTGAGTTTCAGGAAAGAAAACACGGAAAAGTATTGTCCAAAGCAGCAAATCACTCACCTAAAATAATTTTGAAATATCCGTTCACGCTAAAATCATGAGTATTGTTTGTAACAAAGTTTTACTTATATACTTTCAAGCCTCGTGTCATCTTTGGCTATTACGAAAGGAAGATTAGGTGGGTGCGTGAATATTGTTTAACGCCGATAGTTAAAGGTCACATGCAACGCAAACCACAACTGTGCAGATTCTGATACCTTTCGGTATTGACTTACCGAAACAAATCATCAAAAATGCAAATTCAACTTAAAAAGTGGAAAAATAACGCGATGAAAAAAACCGCGCGAAATCGTAGTTCAAACGATTCACTAATTTCCCCCCAGCGCTTGGGGGAATTCAAGTGGTTTCAACAGCTGGGCTGCGCTCATAGCACGTGCGCAGTGAAATAGGTTCGCGCAGCTTGGAAGTGGGTTGTCCGGTGAATACTCGGTGAAGACTTTGGTGTGAGCTATTTTTCTAATGTTTTGTTGATATTTCACAGGCGCGAGCTTTTTATATGTTATGACAGTAGATTAACTGTTTATATAATTTCATTTGTCTATTTCACCACACGTTCTTCTTACCGAGTCTCTTTCTCAGTTCGATATTTAAAAGCAATGTCATAATTTAGCGTTGACAGAATTTCTAACTGTGATATAGATATGTCGTTGTCACAGACAAAACTCAATGTCTGTTTTATTGACACCTATGTGTCTGCCTGCCTGTCTACTAATGACCATATTCAATACACAACTGCGATCACTGACCACATGCAATTTGAACTTAACACCAATCAGGCTATACTCCATAAACAAAATGCATTGATTTATGGCCCGAGTTCGGTCTCTGTCACATTATGTAATTACACAGACAGGCAGGTGTGATACTTGTACACATGACATGTTATGATGTCTGTTGATTGCAAAATATTATACACAAAAAATGAGCATGTATTTACAAAACCCAACATCTCTATATATACACACACAATGAGCCATGAGGGCATCTGCAAATGAACCAGCCGTTACACTTGAGTGCACACCCACCCGCTCTGACTGGGTTCGGTATCCCGGCTGCTTTGTTTCTTGGGAAGTAAACCCAAGTACACAATATTGCACTTTTGATTTGCGATTGTACGCTTATAATCTTGATTTTTCATAACCAGCAATGTATATTATATGTCATGAATAAGTGATAATTGTGTTTTAATTATTGTTTGATTTTTTGGTTGCATGTGACCTTTAAGAAAGAAACCAAAAGTTGATCACTGACATAGACTCCCCCCATAATGCAGAATGAACCATGTACAACTTGAAAAGCGTGTCCCTGACCGCTCCTGTGGTATCATGGATAGAGACTCTGCCAGGAGAGTGAGCTCCCGTTGTCACATGGATAGAGCCTCCGCCAGGGGTGTTAGCTCCCGTTGTCACATGGATAGAGCCTCCGCCAGGGGTGTTAGCTCCCGTTGTCACATGGATAGAGACTCTGCCAGGAGAGTGAGCTCCAGTTGTCACATGGATAGAGCCTCCGCCAGGAGAGTGAGCTCCCGTTGTCACATGGATAGAGACTCTGCCAGGAGAGTGAGCTCCCGTTGTCACATGGATAGAGACTCTGCCAGGAGAGTGAGCTCCCGTTGTCACATGGATAGAGCCTCCACCAGGGGTGTTAGCTCCCGTTGTCACATGGATAGAGACTCTGCCAGGAGAGTGAGCTCCCGTTGTCACATGGATAGAGCCTCCGCCAGGAGAGTGAGCTCCCGTTGTCACATGGATAGAGACTCTGCCAGGAGAGTGAGCTCCCGTTGTCACATGGATAGAGACTCTGCCAGGAGAGTGAGCTCCTGTTGTCACATGGATAGAGCCTCCGCCAGGGGTGTTAGCTCCCGTGGTCAAGTGGGTATAGCGTCCGTCCGAAGGGCGGACAGTCGGTGTTTCGCAGCGTCATACCACAACAAATGATGTCACTTGTTACCCAGTCTGGATCCTGTCTTAATGGGAATGCAGAATAATAACTCATATTCACCACTTTTTAAATATTTTATTTGAGATTTGAAACAACCGAGTTGAGAAACGAGTGTTTTATCTGGCAGAGAAAATGATAATGTAGCTGGATAAACTATTTACTTTATGATTATGTCCCATGGCAAGCTGAATAAGCTGTTGCCTCCATGCTTCAGTACTCTCCACCGACGTAGTGTTCACTTTCTCACAAGTCTCTTGTGAGTGGGACGCAGCTGTTTTATCTACAGTGACAGAAACTTTGCTCAACATCTTCTTGAGAGGTAATTCCAGTGCACAAACAGTCTTTCTTGTTTAGAGTGATACCTAACTGGACAGGTGCTGCGCAACCTAAGCTTTTGTTAAATGTCACACTAAGCAATATTGCAACTATATGGCGATGATCTGTAAACAATCGAGTTTGGACCTGACAATCTAGTGATTTACATCATGAGCATTGATCTAGTCAATTGGGATACATGACATGTGCCAACAAAGTCAGCGAGTCTGACCCCCGGTAGTCACCTCCTCTGACAAGCATGCTTTGTTGAAGACCAATTCTGACCCGTTATGGAGTGCCAGCTTGTAAATGAACAGAAACAAGCCGATAATAACACACAATCAACCAAGTCACCTACCAAACTAGTGGAACTAGTCTCTTGTATTCTTCATCTCAATTCTGATACGTGACCATTGCTCCACTGAGTCGCACTGTCTACAGCCATGTTCGCTTATAAAAATCACACAAAGTACAATGTAGAGTTAAATATATTTAATTAAAATAGTATCTACAGGCTTCCAGATCATCTATGCACAGAACAGAATGAATATTTATCACATTATAAACCATTCACCCACAGTTTACCGCAGTGACACAAAAGACATATACATATATATATGTACATATATTCTCCAATATCTTTACTAACACTGTCTCATGATATACTTTCTTAACCATTTTAACAGTACAAAAGAGTACCTTGGGTGTAAGTACAGCTAACCAGCTTGTGGGGCTTGGTGATTGATGACCTCACAATGGTCTACAGAATATCATGAGGCAATTTCATCTTAGATTCTGTGAAGGTCAGTTTGGGATGATAAAAGACAGACACTGATCAGGTTTCGAGTGATCCTGTCATTGACCATCATCAGTTCTTAGAACGAGATTCAACAATTTTGCCAGGTAAATATAGTCATTACTTACTATTTAAGATTATACAGAACATACCTATTTACACCAAATTTCTCCAAATTGTTTTAGGGCATCAAAGCAAGGGGGCACAAAATATGTACCAATTGCAAATATTTAAAACTGGTGTTTTGACAAGTGTTAAAAAAGTGTCATTTGTGAAAATCCACCAAAACGCAATTGGAATAATAGAAGGTACAGTTGAATTCCCCATGGAGAATAACAATATCCAGGCCAAATCTATTTTCCCTGGTTCACAGATTTAGTCAGAAGATTGCAAACTAAAACACAATAAAACACACTGTACAGCATTTGTGTAAAGTTTGCTTAGGATTGGTGTGTGATGAAAAACAAAACATTCATGACCTGGTTTGTGTCCTTATACACATAATACATCTGAACTCTGACAACACCAAGCCAAAGCCATTTTTGTTGTAAAATTCATCTTTGTAAACACCCTTGTCAATCTGAATTCCATTTTTGATAAAGGAGCATCTGCAAAGTGACAAGGTTGTAAGGAATCATGACTGTACATATGACTTCCGGAGGAGTCAATGACACTGGTGGTCCCCCACGGTCAATGACACTGTAATCTCACACAGATCTGTGTACGGGAGATACTCCACAGCTTGATATGACAATCTGAACATGTAAACCAATCTGAAAATAGACAGCACTGTACAACATAGTTTGACAGGACAAGATCTTAGAAACACCTGGAGACCAGTCTCATAAATATAAGATCTCACAGGTGGTAAAACAAGACAGTAAAATGTCCACTGAAAATAGTTATAAAAAAACATTTTTCACTGAACAAACATTTCACAGTACAAAATCCATGTTTGCAAATATTTGCTGTGATGAAGCATCTCTAACTAGAAAGACTGTTGTGACCATATACTGCAATACAGCACACAAGATTGTACATAAACAATCATATCTGATTCACATATTTAGTACATACATTAAGATTGCAGTTTGAACAACTCCATCATTCAATCTTGAGAATGAAAATAATGGTTTAACATCTAAAAGTGTACCTGTTCACAGAAAACAGATAAACCTTTCTCATTTTTGACAAGCATCATTCTGTAAACAAGGGTAGTTACAACATACCAATGTACAATGTAACATATATCACAGGCTAGTAATCTCCACACAAAATGTGAACTGAACAGATTGAGTTTGCCACAGGTCAGTATGCAAGAATGAGGTATATGGAAGCATACCACAGACTGACTTTTATTTGAAAAATATCACAAGAGTTTTCTTGAAGCATTTGCTCATGTTTTGACAAGTGTTAAAAAAGTGTCATTTGTGAACATCCACCAA